AGCGGATGGGGATTTGTAAGTATTTATACATTTAGATTTGGAAAAATGAATACTCTGACCATGAAATGCTGATCTTCAACCACACTGCCTTTATTATTTTTCTTATGGATGCCTTATACAGGAACAAATAACATTATCGTTAAAAATTCAGTGTTTCGGTTTTTAATTTTATTGAATGATGCATTTGTCAGTTAGGAATTCACAAGACAGCCACAATATTGTTTTGTACTCTCATATTTAGTTTCCTTGTCTCAGGCCTTCCAAAAGGATTCTCCTCTTGCTGTTGACTTGTCGACTGCAATTCTTCAACTCTCAGAGAACGGTGATCTACAAAAGATCCGTAATAAGTGGCTTACACATAACGATTGCCCTACTCAACTCAATAAAGTTGACGGAGGCCAGCTATCTCTAACAAGCTTTTGGGGCCTGTTTCTTATCTGCGGTATTGCATGCTTCCTTGCTCTTGCGGTGTTCTTCTGTAGGATCCTTTGTCAATACCGCAGGTTTACCCCCGAGCCTGTGGAAGCGGACGTTGAGGAGATTGGACCTACCAACACGAGATCTCGACGCTTACTCTGGTCAACTAGTTTCAAGGATCTTATGGTCTTTGTAGATAAGAAAGAAGCAGAGATAAAGCACATGCTTAAGCGAAAGACTAGTGATAGTAAGCACGAAGCTAGCCCGAGCGCTGATGGGCAGCTGCATTCCCTTCGTGAGGAAGATTTGAGCGCTGATGGGCGGCTGCATTCCCTTCGTACGTGAGGAAGATTTGCTTTCGGCGGGTTGATTTTGCAGTGCCCACTCAGCACTCGGTTAATCAAATTTTATCCAATCCCTGTGGCATATGCTACGTATATAGAATAACACTAGAAAGTTCTACCTGCGCGTTGCTGTGGGATTAAAAATTATAAGAAAGATTATGTTTCAAAGATGTAAAGTCTATGCCATGAAAGATTTATACTATTTACATATGAAAGATTTAATCTATGCAACAGACACCAAAACTTGTAGAAGTTTTATTACTTTATCTAGAATGATAAAATACGACAAATATTGTTTACTGCAACGCTCAATTTTTTTCTCCAGTACTGTTGATTGTTAAGAAATCACCCTAGGCAACGAAAGAAAATATTGTAACACATGAAATTAATTTATATGACAATGAAATTATACTGTAAAGAAAATAAGAATATAGTATGGTTACCTTTTCAACAATTTTATAGCACCTCATCAACTTTTGTGCGTTTGCCTCTTTGATTAGTTTTGTCTCACTACCTTAAATGTATAACAAAGATTGAAAATGATAAATGTATATTAGATAAAAGCTGGATGAAAAATAGAAGAACACACTGTTTGTTTGGTAGGGTGTAAACAGAAAGTGATATACCCATCGATCAATTGGGGTGGCAAAATTTGTATAGCTGAAGTTGCAATGTAAGCATTCTATATCACTGCGACTGTGCATCATTCATTTCTTAGCTTCTTTTAGTTCAAACCACCTAAACCAAAGAAAACAAACAAAATATTAAGTACAGTTTATCATCTGTCTTTGCAATTTAACTTCTAACATGACTAAATATAATCTGAAGGCAATAAAGCTTGAGCCTAATTCTATCAGCCAAAAGGGAGGAACACTAAATTTTACACACGAAGGCCCAAGGGGTTTGATAAAGAAATCCCAAAACAGAAACTATAATTTGAAGACTGTGCATAGATGGTCAACTTTGTTCAAATGTCTTAATAAAGTACATCCACCAAATTAGAAATATTAAGTTGTGAAAAATGAAGCTAATTCCTTTATAATAACAAAATGTTGGTCAAAATACCACAATGTGAACAAATATATCATAAAGGACAAATAGAAAAACGATACTTACCAATATCGACATATGGATTGCTTCGAAAGAATGTTACATGTAGAGTTATTTTCTCAATGATTTGGTCTACGATAAAAAAAGTAACTATTTAGAAAGCAGCATCATTGCCACTTGCTAGTCTTCCTACATGATTTAAGAATATAACTAATTAAATAGATATGGGATCACATTGACCATAAATTATTACATGCAACTCAAAAAAAAAAAGAAAATGAGAATAGCGTCGTCAGAAAAATCGAAAACCCTTGCCAAAAAAAGTAACTGTTACGCAATTAGATCTCTTTTAATAATTGCACATTTAAATCTTTTTCTTGATCAGTAAGATGTCACAAATACAATGTTCCACAGTTCATTACATTTTCATTTCTAGCCATCAGAACTTGAAACAAATAACTAATGAGTGTTATAGAAACTTACCACAACATTGTCAAAAGAGAATATAAGACCATAAGCTTCATCAGTTTGACAACATATCGTATTTGTTTAAGAAAATCTTATTGCAGTTTGTCTTCCAAAAAATCCTACTCTTAGTAAAAATTAACAGTAGTAAGTCATAGCATAATCAGTAAATTAATTTCGATAGAGCATAAAAAACAATGACTACTATACATATGATTCCATAAATTACACCACATCAACCTTGAGAGGTCCAACATGTCCAAAACTCTCAAAACCTTCTCCATATTTAGCTCCAATCGCCTGAAAACACTGAGAAGTGGAGGAAAAAAACATAAACTCATCAATATTTGCTACCCAAGGATAAGTTAAAAATGGAAAGTATTTTCACTGGCGAATATATGCATGAGTATTAGTTACTATGTTGAACTGTTGGCAACACGGAAAATACTCTTCCATTCTCTTGCCCACCAAAAAAAGAGCACTATAAAAATCTCAAAGAAATTCTTTGCAAGATTATCGAAATTACAAAAGTGGTAAACCAGCAAGTCATGTTTTGGATCAATGTTGGACCACATTTGTTTCACTTTAACTGTCATAATTACAACCTCAAGATTAGATTCTAAATTCCACAATTAGATGAGCAATGCTTCTTGATTCCGCATGATTATTGGCATTTGTAATTCACACAACCTTAAATTTTAAAAGAACACACAAAAGAAACAGAACATAAAGTATCCCTCTCTTTTTACCTTCTCAAAAACGTATCTTAGGGAAGCTGTTGTCAGAGGCTTAGCCTTCTAATGTTTACAATCCACGAAATAAAAAACAAATAGAAAAGAGCCTCTATAACCAAAATATGCATGATGGTATTTTTCATTAGACAAATTAGTTATTGATTAAAAATTGGGTAGTATAATTCTAATTACCTCTTAAGTCCTAGTTTTAGCTTTCCTTATTTAATGGCTTTTAGAGCTCAAAGTTTGAAAGTGACTACAAATAAAAGATCAAAATAAATTTAAATTCATAAAAATTAATAAAACCCCAGAAGAGAAAACTGAGTTTGAAGTTTTTGCTGAACTCACAACACATAAAAGATCTGTTTTTGTAACACATTTAGTTTCTTGGGTTCAAATTTTGGGAAAATAATAATTGATACATGAAAAAAATATGTCGGAAAAATATGTTGAAAAGAAGATGAGTTGTTCATATTATTTGATTTGATATAGTTTGGTAATACTCACTGGTCCACTTTGATGCTAGAGAGTGGTTGGCCATATGGCTTGAACAACGAAACATATGCGCTTCTGTGTAAATACAATACCAAAACAAAAAATGAACAAAAATTCTATGAAAATTAACATCTCTTATTCCATACAATATATACAGTATATATGAGTAAATTGCTTACGGGTCTGACTTCAATATAACCCAACTCATCTTCATCCATCTAGAATCCCTACAGCTGCTACTGTTGTAGTTCGTACAGCTGCTACTGCTATATTGAAATTGACTACCTTAGATAGTTTATTTCACATTCTTACACACATGACAAGCCAAAAAACATTTAAAACATATAAATAATCTAAAAAAAGGCCAATTTAATACCTTTTCTCAAACAGGTGATAAGCACTGATAACAGAAAAAATAGCTGAACAACCACTGTGAAAAATACACCCAAATAGTTAGTGAAATTAGATATAGAACATGAAATCATTCATAAAACAACATGAATAAATAAAGGAAGACATAACAACTCACCCTCACCGAAATCAATCAAACACTGTAAATCTACAATTAACAAAACAAACAGTAAAAATTCAAAAAATCAAACATGCGAAAATTGAAAAAAGAAAAAGAAAAAGAAACATGCAACAATATAAATCTATTAAACAGAAGTTAAGATAACATTAATGAATTTGACCTACTATTTTACTTGTATATTCGATTTTTGGAATTTTGAGTGAATGAACGACAAAAGAACATATAACAAAATAACAGAAGCGTACCCCATTGGAGGAAGCCCGTCCGGCTAACCGGCACATACATCAGCAAAGGTACAAAGCCCGATTGCACTGAAGAATCAGAAGACCAAATCACCATATGAGCAACCCAAATGAGAGGTAGAGGGGAGTGATCGAGCGAGAGAGATAGAGGCAGAGAGAGAAACTAAATTACCAGTTTTCTCAGCATGGACCTCACCATCGCATGAAGGTTGTGTAACGGCCTCATTTAGTGAGCGAATCATGACATGATTGAGACTAGGTTGAATTCAGTATGATATGTTTACAGAACGATAATGAGAATAGTAAGAAATTAGAAAACTTGGGAGTAACAGGCATGGTTGCGACATAATTGATATTAGGTTAAATCCAGCTGCAGTCATATCCTAATACACAGTGGCCTCGTTTCGTGATCATCCATTACATGATTTAGACTAGATTGAAACCAATATCGTTTGGTCCCATTTAATGGGCGAATCATGACACGACTGTGAATAAGTTAAATCCAGTTGCATAGAGACCAGAGCCATCTACCTTGGAGAGGGGATTTATTTTGTCTAATGTGTGGGACATTTTATTTAATGTTCCAATCCCTCTTCTATATATTAAGAGCACCAAGCGTGGGACAACAATACAATAATTCTTTACAATTGCAACCGTCATGTTATGCTCTCTCCGTGCTAGTTTATCAAAACCAACCACCAACTCTACATAGAAACCTAATTTTGTGTCTTTAATTAAGTTTGACATATGAGGTTTTTTTTAATTAATTGCAGCATGACAATCAATGGATGGGTCTTCATGATCTCAGTTGGGCTAAATGCAGCTGCAAGGTCATTGCCATATTCATATATATTACATACATGCACCTGATGAAGGGGATCCCGGTTCACTATAGCCGGAGCTGAATCCATATCGATAAACATTTTGAAATGATACCAAAAGCTGTACAATCAATTATCGGAAGTATCAATAACATGAACGATATGTTGATAACCCGATACAGTTAGAATATGATTGTCGATATCTCCCGCTCCAGCTACAATGGATTCGAATTCCTCTTACGAAGGGTCCTATACATAAATATTGATAGGTCACAAAACTTTTTTATGTAGAGAACATGGAATTATTTAAACTTACTTTTACTTTTCAAGATTTACTGCAAGCAGTGTGAGAGTGAGTAATGAGCTTGGAGCTGGACATCCAAAGTCTACAGCATTTTCAGTTGTGGTGGTGACTGTAGTCTCTTTCATTATGTCAATCTTCGCAGCCATAGTTGTTCTTTTACTGCGTCATAAGTTGAGCTACGCCTTTACCGAAGGTGAAGCCGTGGCTGCTGCTGTATCTGATCTCTGCTCGCTTCTCGCCCTCACCCTCCTCCTTAACGGAGTGCAGCCAGTTTTGTCTGGTATATATAAATTGGAGCATTCGTTCATGAACTTGCCTACGTTAAATGAAACATATGCTAACTAATGTAAATGCACGAATCCAAGTGTTGATGTTGGGTGTGGATGGCAAGCTTTTGTTGCGTATGTGAATGTTGGATGTTATTACGTGGTTGGAGTACCATTTGGTGCGCTTTTAGGGTTTTACTTCAAGCTCAGCGCCAAGGTACAAAAAATAAAAATAAAAAGTAATTTCGTAGTTCTTGTTACTGAACTAATCTGATCGCATGATCCGAGTTCTTACTAATATTTAATTTTCGTATCATATGATGCACTAATATGATTGAAAAAAAGTATCATACAAATGATGATGACTACAACAATTATGTACGATGATTTTGTAGGGAATATGGTTAGGAATGGTGGGGGGCACATTGGTGCAAACACTCATCCTACTGGGTGTTCAAAAAAAAAAAAAAAAAAAAAACGCTCATCCTACTGTGGATGACCATTCGGACTGACTGGAACAAAGAGGTATCAGATTTGAGTGCCACTTTTCTTTGACTTCAAAATTTTTTATTATAATTATTTTTGGGATTCATCTTGCATGATTTATTAACATTATAAGCGATTTTTTTTTTAATATAATCGTTATTAATATGAAAACATACATTTGAATTGAATTGCAGGTGGAAGAGGCAAAGAAAAGGCTGAATAAATGGGATGTGAAGGAGCCACTCAAGTAGTGAGAAAACAGTTGTGAAAGAAGGAACATTCATTTTTGGGTGTGATTATGATTTGATTTAAGATACATAACAATATGTACTGTAAAACAATTTAATCATTATTATTTTCCAGGATTCTACCATTCATTGCTGCTTTACAATAACTTTCTGTTATGATATGACAAAATTATGCACGACCTGATGCTACGACATGAACACACACGAAAGTTTAATGTTCGGATTGAGCATTGACGGTCAGAGCAATTAAAAAGGGTCATGTTTGTGAGAAGAAACAAAATGAATATATTTTTTTTTATTTTCTAAGCTATTGACTATACTTTTCCTTAACGGCTTGGGTTCGAATGGATTCGTTCAGACTAGATCCGTTTGCCTGGTCAACTTTTTAGCATTTACCTTAATGTGAAAATACAGATACTGGAATTGCGCGTGGTAATGCAAGTACAATCGATAATTCTGACACATTTGACAAGCAGGAATGTGAATACAAAAATGAAACAATCCAAGGCTATTACTTCTTCTTCCCTGCTTTTCCCTCCTTCCTTCTTATGATTTCATCAGCATATTTCACACCCTTACCTTTGTACGCGGTTCCGGGGACGTCTCCATTTCCTGATCGATGCAGCAAACTGACCGATAGCACTCTTGTCGTATCCGCTAACAATGATTCTGGTGTTTTCTTCGACCTTGACTTGAATGACATCAGGGATATCCATCCTAACCGGATGGGAGAATCCAAGACTTAGTACCAAGATCTTTCCTTCTAAAGTAGCTCGGTATCCGACGCCTACCAGTTGCAACCTCTTATCAAATCCTTTTGACACCCCCACCACTGTCACATCCCGGCCCGGGCAGGACCACTTCCCGGGCCCGAATCCACTTTAGCACGATATTGTCCGCTTTGGGCCCCAACCACGCCCTCACGGTTTTGTTTTTGGGAACTCATGAGCAACTTCCCAATGGGTCACCCATCATGGGATTGCTCTAGCCCCCTTCTCGTTTAACTTCGGAGTTCCTACGGAACCCGAAGCCAGTGAGCTCCCAAAAGGCCTCGTGCTAGGTAGAGATGAGAATATACATATAAGGATCACACCCCTGGGCGATATGGGATGTCACAATCCACCCCCCTTGGGGGCCTGACATCCTCGTCGGCACACCACGGCCAGGGTTAGGCTCTGATACCAAATTGTCACATCTCGGCTTGGGCAGAACCACTTCCCGGGCCCGAATCCACCGTAGCACGATATTGTCCGCTTTGGGCCCCAACCACACCCTCACGGTTTTGTTTTTGGGAACTCACGAGCAACTTCCCAGTGGGTCACCCATCATGGGATTGCTCTAGCCCCCTTCTCGCTTAACTTCGGAGTTCCTACGGAACCCGAAGCCAGTGAGCTCTCAAAAGGCCTCATGCTAGGTAGAGATGAGAATATACATATAAGGATCACACCCTTAGGCGATGTGGGATGTCACAACCACCATGTTGTCCGTAAGCGTCCTAAACAAATTATTCAAATAGGCACATAAGGAACAAACCATAAAGAATAAGGCTAGTTTATTGTTTAAAGTACATGGCTGAAGATGGAAGAAATGTACCCGAAAAGGCCATGCATTTGATTGGCCCTTCTAGTTGTAAGAATCCTTTGTGGACTTAATTGCTTGTGATAAAGGTGGAATTACATGTGGATAATACAACTTCAATAGAGTTTGATACGTGGAAAACTAACGTCCTATAATTCAAGAAACACATTCGAAATGTTTGGGATGCAACTGCCTTCCACTAACCCTTTTTCCACTGAACTTGATACAACGGGACAATAACCAACTCACCCACGATAGATGGGAGTTGGCGGCCGTTATTTCTATACATGTAGAAGTTCCCTGCTCACCAAGAAGACATTCTTCAACACAGGGTTCTATCACCATAAGAATTTAAAGGTCTTGAGTGAGTAGAAGGATTCCTTGTGTAACTAACCATGTCTTCTTCAAAGCTATTAAGTACGATTAACAATTACCATGGCTGCACCAGGTAAGCTTCTCTCGTTACATTTGATCGTGACCTAGCAAAGCATGTTAATATGAACTTGGGTTGTTCTTACATTTGGTATCAGAACCATGTTAGTAAGCCCTAGATCCGATCAATTAATAAGAAATCCTAATGCTTTATGCACGTATAAAATTCGTATGATGATTGCTGTAGTTTTTCTATAACATGATTAATTGTTCTAATGCCATATGCTACTGCCAAAGTTGTATTCACTGCAGGAAAAGGAATATATGGTTTGGAGATTAGACCATTGTAAGCATTGCGTTTTTGTCATTCTAGAATTGGTAGTCATGGTTGCTTCAGTTTCACAAACGATGAATGGTATCTGTTTGAAATCCGGTATCTGATTGAAATCAGTTTCTTGATATCTATTTGATATTCATGTTGCAACCAATATGAATAAACTTGTAACAGAACCTCAAATTTTCTCTGAAAAGAACTCTTCTTCGAACAACATACCATGATATCAAATGTATCCTCAACCTTGAGATTTATCACTGCTAATTTACGTAATGTATGGCTGAGAACATACCTACATGTATGCTATCTGCCTCATTCTTTTCTATAAACCCTTTTGAGGGTTTATGATGATTTCTGGGTTTATGGTGCCAAGTGTTGATTTTATTTCGATCTTGGAGTTGTGGTTCTCATAATTGATAAACCTTTTTCGAGTCGAAAGTGAATTTCATGTTTTTTGAGTTAAAGTCACTACCACGGTACATTTGTCGTCTGACGTTAATATGGAATCATTGTCTTTGAATTTTCATTAAATTTTGAACTGGAGGGTTCCTTTAGGGGGGGGGTGATCTTATATCAATGTTTATTTGAGATTTTGATTATGGTCTTTACTAGGAGAACACATATAAAGTATATCATTGATTAGAATCGTTATTGAGAGAAATCATCGGGCTTTAATTGCTTTCGATAAAAGCTCCAAAGTTGATATGATCACTCTGAATTTTGGAGTCCATTTATTATTAAGCTTAGGAGGGAATATTTTGAGTGGATTGATTTGTGAATTTGAACATTGTATTTGGTGGAATGTTATAAACAAATTTGATTCTTTTAATTACTATTGTTATTGATTATATTTTGATCCTGGGCACTATAATTCTTCAATTAATGTTTGTAAGTTCTTTGTTTTTCTGGGATATTTGTGTTTGCAAAGTGGTTAGTTGAACACAGGCCATTAGTTGAAGGGCATTGTTGTCTTGAATTGGCCAGGTATTTCTCGACTATTTCACACCTCCATTTGCGTATGCAATCATATATAGCTACAAGATGGATGGATAGAGCTTTGAGTGATCAAAGCTGGCTTGCTATTACCAACATGTGAATTCTTCGGCTGCCTTGTACCCTTGGGCTGCTTCCATGAACTGTGTCTTGGAATTGGTGCTATTGTGTGGGAGTAAAAAGTGTATTGAGTTGATGAAGCCAAAAGTTGATGAGCTTGGTTGACGAGTCTAGCAGTAGGGGAATTCAATAATCACGCTGCAAACATAGGTGTGGTTGAATCATTTGACTTGGCTACTATATGAAAGTAAGGGTTGGTCTTTCATTTTATTTTGCCTCATGCTTTAAATAAAGCATGGACTTATGTGCTTGTGAATTTTACCATGTTAATGGTTGAAGTTTTATTTCAGTTATTGTGTATATGTACAAATATATGCATGCAGTATATTGAAATATTATGGACTGATGAAAGATTCAAACAGAATGAGCTTGGTATTATAAGCATTCCATTCAAGCTAAACAAAAGCTTGACAATGGTGGAGCACTCTGATCAATGGGAGCTTGTAAACAGAGCTTTAAATTTGTTTCGGTATTTGTATCATGCATAATGCATATTTGACAGTTTATGCTTTTTGCCCAAAGGTGTAACATAAATCTGTGTTGTTTGATGTTGCACTCTTTGCATACAGGTAATGTCTTCTTGACTGCATTATAATACATATTGATATCTAAATATGTATTGGCAATAGCCATTGGTAGCTTAGTAAGTTTTGTTGTCTTATTCTAATATGTGTAAAAGTGATTGTATACGTATACTCTGAATCTCACTCTAGCATTGATGTGGTAAAGCAATATATTTTATTGTGCATACGAAATGTGAGCATGATTTAATTGGTAAGCAAGTGCGTAAACACATCAAAACCTTTTCATTTTAGTTTGAACTCAATGTTGTGTATGTATGTTAAAGCAAAGGGGAGTGGAGATTGGGATTTATGTTGAACTTGAATATGGCTGGTAGGTTGTAAGGTTGAACTTGATACATGTGAAAATAATCTATAATTAGATTTTACTTGTGTAGAAAATTGATTTTTCATTCGACGTTTGAATGATTTCTACAATCAAATTGAAATGCTAAAGTTTTATGCAGGATATCAACACTAATAATCTCTATACTTAAAACAAATGTTTAAATAAATCTTCACCAAAGTGGGAATTATTAAGAAATTTTGTTCAAGGGATTCTTAATTGAATTTTGTGATGACAATTCATTACATGAGACCAGTCTTTCAAAAGAGAGAAATAGTGAATGACTTGAACAGTGATTCAGTGTATAATATTTTATAAAAGTTTTAAGCCGACTTTGTTCCCTTGTCCAAAGACATGATTTGAGTTGTACCTTGAAATTTTTGTGAAATAGCTATACAAGTAAGGATGCATGATTAAGATTGCACAACTGATATTTTATGTCTCTTGCCCAAAGATGTTACATAAAATTGCATGTCATGGTTATTCACTGAATAACTAGATTATCTGCATAAGGCAGAATTGAGACTTCACTGGAAGCATTAGGCAAACTCATTGGAGTTTGATAAAGGATTGAATATGTTTGTATCATATTTTAATGTTGTTTCATGTGAGATGAATGTATAAATGGTTTGAGATGTTTTCAGGGTATAACTTTTTTAAGAAAATTAAGTTGACTGTTTTCTTATCCAAAGGCTTGAAATCTTGGTTGTTTTCTTAATCTTTTACATGGTTGTTATACAATAAGGTTACATATCAAATAGTGGAAATATGGGAGTGAGATCGACATTCTGACATGCATAAGTATTTGTGTTCCTGTTGCTCTTGTTGAATTATGTTTCTTATTTTGTCAACTAAATGCAATGAATGTATTGTACGCATTAATCAATTTCAGTGCTTGATAATGTTGTGATACTTCATTATTATTATATCTTTGATTCGTAAAGATAGCAGATTGAAATTTGTTGTTTGAGGTGTGTCTATCCATAGATGATACATGAAGAAACCTGGGGTTTGTATGATTAAATAAAGGCACGATAAATCCATTTATGGTATAAGGAAACATCATACAGCTTGGGTTTAAATACTTGTGGTTCTAGAATGCATGACAACTTGGGTTCCGTTGAAGTGTGGGAGTAACAATATGATATATGTTTTACTTTTGCTCAGTTTACTTGCTTTAAGTTTGTCTTTGCTGAAGGTATGAGGTTTTAATTTATGACTTGCAATAAACTGTCTGATCTTTGTTCCAAAGAACATTTGATTGAGTTTTATTATGCAGGAAAATGGAAAAGGAATCCAGTGATTGAAGATGGCAAACCACTTTCAATCAATAAAGGTAAACTGGATAAATGGGAATGAAATAGGGTATGCATCAAAAACCGTGTTTAGAATGTGTATAAATGTATGTCATCATTAGCATTATCCGGTATGAATTTGTGGATTGTGATTTTAGGGTGAATGCAACATTATTGTATGCATTATTTCCTAAGATTTGAACTCCAAATGATTACTGGTCAATGTGTATAGATGCTAGTTGCATAGAACTCAAGTGATCACTAAGGAATGAAGTCATGTAGTACATGAAATTTCAAAACCACAACTAGTTAGCGTCCATGTAGGAGAATGTAAGAATCCTATATGAACTTAACTACTTGTTATAAAGGTGGAATTACAAGTGGATAATACGATTTCAATAAGAGTTTGATACATGGAAAACTAACGTCCTATAATTCAGGAAACACATTCGAAATGTTTGGGATGCAACTACCTTCCACTAACCCTTTTTCCACTGAACTTGATACAACGGGACAATAACCAACTCACCCACGATAGATGGGAGTTGGCAGCTGTTGTTTCTATACATGTAGGAGTTCCCTGCTCACCAAGAAGACATTCTTCGACACAGGGTTCTATCCCTATAAGAATATAAAGATCTTGAGTGAGTAGAAGGATTCCTTGTGGAACTAACCATGTCTTCTTCAGAGCTCTTGTGTATGATTAACAACCACCATGGCTGCACCTAGCAAAGCATGCTCATATGAACTTGGGTTGTTCTTACACTAGTCTCTACTGCCTTTCTGGCCCTTAGAGCCCCAGAATCCTCCTCCTCAACCAGCACTTCTTGCGGGTACGTTAGTGAAAGCTGCCCCAATGGTCCCTTTACTGCCAAAGCCTGTCCTTCCAAAGTGATTGTCACATTGGATGGTACTTCAATTGGCTGCTTTCCAATTCGTGATTCCTTACACTCTATTGTCTTCTTCAAAAACCTGACTTGAGATACAGATACGCTACAAACAGAGAATCCGTTTCTCTCGCCCAAAAAAGCAGACCGCAAATTGCTGAAACATGATAGCAAAAAGGATCTTCACTAAACCAGAAATAATCCACTCTAATGTTAACTTCAAAAACATAACAAAACAATTTAAAAACTAAGTTCTTATGTTCCATTGGGTTTTCTGAAATTCATGAAAGTTTCGACCTTCTCCAAACACTGGAGAACAAAGTAACGGAAACTACAAAACATAAGAACACAATCCAACCACTAATTTGTTATGATCCACTGGGTTTCAGAAAAATTCATGAATCCATTTCCAGTTTGGACCTTTTCCAAAATTTGAAACCCAAGAACAAAGTAACGAAACTTCAAAAACATAACACAGTGCAAACATTAGTTTCTTATGTTCCATTGGGTGTCTGAAATACTCATGAATCCGGTTCAAGTTCGGACCTTTCCCCAAATTTGAGACCTGAGAAACCAACACTGCCCTCAGCTGAGGCAAATGCACTAAAATACGATATTATTTACATTAAAAAGGATGAAGAATGGGTTAAGCCCAAAATGAGCTAGCAATAATGTAGTTTAATTTCATTTTTAGCGAAAATCGAATATGAGACATCTCATTTAAATATCATTAGGCCGTTGTCCTACATCAGCTTTGCATTTGTTACCTGCATTATAAAATTTGAGTTTTAACGAAAAACTCACGGTACTCTTCATTTTAACGAAAAAACACATTTTTATAGTAAAAAGTCAATCATGATACTATTCACTTTACTTTTTATTTTTTCTTTATCATTAAAATTCAAAGTTTTTAAACTTTTTTCATTAATTTTCTTTATAAATTTGATACCTTTCCATATGTGGGGTGTAGTGGGGCCAGTGGTTGGCCATGAAATTGAAACGGCACCGTTTGAATGTGAAACTAAGGTAGGGTTACAATACAGGCCATCGTCTTCTACCTCTAGATTAATTCTACGGATGTGCATTTTTTTTATGCTTAAAACTGTCACATCCCGGCCCGGGCGGGACCACTTCCCGGGCCCGCTCCACCACCGTAGCACGATATTGTCCGCTTTGGGCCTCGACCACGCCTTCACTGTTTTGTTTCTGGGAACTCACACGAGAACTTCTCGATGGGTCACCCATCCTGGGAATGTTCTCGCGCGCTAATCACTTAACTTCGGAGTTCCTACGGAACCCAAAGCCAGTGAGCTCCCAAAAGGCCTCGTGTTAGGTAGGGATAAGAATATACATTCAAGGATCACTCCCCTGGACGATGTGGGATGTCACAAAAACAATTTTCTACTTAATAAAATAATCACCTGAAAATATAATAAAATCCTGCGATTCCCATAACCCATTATTTTAATCTTCTTGAAAAATGCTTCAAATTGTCAGAAAGATTCAAACTTTACAAATTATTACAAGTAATTTTCACCCAAAAGAGAAGGAACAGAAAACAAATGCTTGAATTAGAGAGCAGCATAGATAAAGTAAAAATAAATTGCGAGCTGACCTGGTTTGCAAAAATGAGGTGAGTGAGGAGGCCATTGTTTTCAAGAGCTTGAGAGCATCAGCTGCTGAGCTTTTTGTACTCTGCTTCTCTGGACAATCAAGATTGAAAAGAAAGGATGAAGCTCTTGTTATCCAGTTCCCACCCACTTGCTAAATTACAAAACTACCCTCCAAACTTGGGCTTTCCCAAGCCAAGCACAACTTATAAGATCCATGTAGGAGCCCAAAAGACAAAAGCATTTTCTAATACAATTTTCATTTTTCTTGTGGGTAAAACATTTTAAGGTGAAATAAGGTGAGTGGACAATTGGTCAATGTGCTTATGCAGCTACGTTTATATTGATTTTTGTTCATTGATCTATTTCAATTTATTTAATTCGACGGTCGAAAATTGAAAGAAAACCTACACTGATTCTATTTTCTCTCCTTGCACTCTTAGAAAAGAAGAAAAATGTAAAAGAATAAAGGATGTGTGAAAGTGATAAAAAAACACTAAATGCTGATAAGAAACCTCCTATATAGGAATTCGGATCCTCGTCGGATTCTTTTGATAAGGATTTCAGAGATCCATGAATCGTGTCCGTTCATCGTACATTGTGCAGTCAGAAATCATTTTAAATATTTTTATTTAAAATTAAACACAAACAGTACCTGACAAAAACTAATCGCACAATTTATGATAAACGGAAACGATGTCTTGACCAAAAGGATCCGAGAGAATCATGTTGGCCTGTGGAGGATATCACTGTCAACTATCCTATTTTCTTGCCAGGTGGGGTCTTGTTATCCTTCACGTACTCTCCACCAGCTGATGTGAGACGCTCAGAATTCCATGGCCATAAAAGACCCAAAACCTGAGAAAAATAATGAGCTTTGAGAATATGATATTGGAAGTGGACCTGGTGCTTCTTCCATCCAAGTGTGATTCTTTTTTTTCATGATGTCCAACATCATGCTCGCTTGCACTTCCAAATTCAATCATTCAACGACCACAAATTCCTTCCTTCAACTGTTCAACAGTTGGACTAAAAAAAATTTCAGTTCTGTGAAGTTGAAGTGAAAATTTCTCTGGAAATCAATAATTTGTAGGTGAAATTTACCAAGTTTCTATGGTTTTTCAGTTTACCAATGAGTGCTCTCAACTGGGTAGTTCACTGATCAAGCAATAAAGCTTTCCTCCTCAATCTTTATCCAAAGTTTGCTGAATATCCTATGTGTTTTCATGCCATATTTACTGATTATATGAAGCCTTTGAAACATGGGTGTTAGAAAAGTTTGAGACTTTACTGTGAGGAATTGATGCAGAGGGAAAAAAAATGAGGGGTGCTTGTTGGGGGTTTAAAAATGCTTCACTACTTGGAGAGGTTTATCTCACAAAGAAAAATGTAACGCAGCGGAATTGATAGGCAAGAGAAAGAAAGAATTCTCAAAGTATTACACAAGGTTTTATTCACTCACAAACTTAGTACAAAAGGAAACACTCAAACACTCTTAGAAGCTTTGTTGCTTCTTCTTATTTCTTACTTGACACTCTCACTTCTTGCTACTTGCTCTCTTGGTTGTTACAAATGGTGTGGATGCCTTCTCCTTTTATAGGCATGGATGGAACCTTGGAGAAGCATGAAAACATTATGCTAGAGATATCTAGATAATTCCACTACCTTCCTAAGCTAGAATTATCTACACTAATCTTGTATGTTGGTGGAATCCTCACCATTCTTCTAGACTCTTCTACCAACTTGAACTTTGCTAGAATTCTCTAGCATGTGCATGGATCTTTCTTTGTGTATGGGCCGGATCAATTATCTTTGGGCTAAGACAAGATTACAATTCAACAGTGCTGTAGTTTTGCCACTGCAATTTCTGATATGGGTTTTCCTCACTAGCTGTTTTTACTGCTAGAAGCCTTCTGTGGTGAATATTGGAGCAATTTTTAGTTTTAACTCGGTTATTGGTAGAGTTGCAAAGACAGCCATGGAAGCTGCACTCTCTGATGTTAATGCAGATCCAAGAATACTCAGTGGGACGGAGCTGAGGTTGCTTAAGGAGAATACAAAGTCTAGTGTGTTCTTGGGATCCGTTGAAGGTACTTAATTGATCGGTATTCTTGCTTCTGTGTATGAATATCATTACTTGTTCCAGTTTATAGCTGTAGTGGTTGTCCTTTTCTAGGGTGAAATTTTGATTTTAGCAACTGCTATGGTGCGTTCGGACGAGGGGCATTCAAATTTGATAGGAATGTAGAGCAAAATTTGGATGGAGGGTTTTGAAAATGACTTTATGCAATCCATTTGAGGGAACTTTCAAGTGATTCCTTGAAAGGTGTCATTGGAAAGTCATTTGTTTAGTGCTTTATAGTGTTTTAGTAGTAGTTTTGCAATGATTGAGTAGTTCATCGCTAGTGTTCTTGTAGTACATCTTAATAATTGAGTCTAGAGTTCCTTGGTACTTCAAAAGCGCTTGTGAGTTGTAAGACGATATATAGGATATTCTCAGGTTGCTATGACTCCATATTATGTGGAAACCTCTTGTATTTGTTGTAGATTTGAAGTTCCAAAACATGTGGAATCAATTGCTAATTTTCTCACCCCTGCTCTGATTAGTTTAAGATTTCTTTCACCACTATTAGCCCTTCATGAGCTCTTTTCTTGTCTTTCATGTACATTTTCAATGGCACCGCGCCTAGTTTTAAAGTTAATTTCCTTTTAATATTTCCATATGTTGCGCTTCGTATCCTCTCTTGGGATGTTTGATATTGAACTTCACTCTGAATTGCAATCAATGTAACCCACATTTCTTAATGGCTCACTTTTTGGGAGCAGTTTTTCAGGTGCTTGACAAAAGTATAGTAGCCATAATCGGACCACAGACCTCTTCAATGGCTCATATGATCACTGAAATTGCTAATGGTCTCCAAGTACTTCTTATCTCATATGCTGCCACTGATCCTACTCTTTCTGCTCTCCAATTCCCATTCTTTCTCCGAACTACACAAAGCGATGCTCACCAAATGGCTGCTATGGCTGGCTTGATTGATTTTTATGGGTGGAAAGAGGTTATTGTTGTCCTTGTGGATGACGATTATGGGAGGAATGGAATATCTGCTTTACATGATGAACTTGACAAAACAATGTCAAGGATTTCTCATAACTTGGCTTTGCCTGTCCAATATAATTTAAATGACATTGCTGATTTGCTCAATAAATTCAGATTTCTTGGCCGTCATGTCTATATTGGTCATGTTGATCCCGATCCTAGGTTGAGAATCTTTACTGTCGCCAAAGAACTTCTTATGATGACAAGCAATTATGTGTGGTTTGCAACAGATTGGCTTTCTACTACAGTAGATTCCTTCTCTCCAATGAACCGAACTTCACTCACTGCCCTTCAAGGTGTAGTTACTTTACGTAAGCATATCCCAGAGTCCAGTCGAAAGCGTGCATTTATGTCTAGGTGGAAAAAAAATGCAGCAAGACGGTTTAGCAAGTTCCGAGTTAAATGTCTATGGACTTTATGCTTATGACACAGTTTGGGCTGTTGCACACTCGATTGAAAATTTTATGAATGAAAACAGAAATATCTCATTCTCTGTCCTTGATAAATTACTTGACATGAGACAATCTCAAATTCAGTTGGGCAACCTTATGATGTGTTCAATGAAGCACTGAAGTTAGTCCCGTATGATGTTCCTTACAGATTTGAACCTTCTGGTGATGGCCAGTCCAATCCCAGTTATGATGAGCTTGTGAAGATGGTTGCAGAAAACGTAAGTAAACTTTACACAGTTATAATTGGTCAATCCAAAGAAAATTTAAAATGTGACTGTGGGGTGACATTACAAGCCAATACATGGAAACATGATGTGAGTAGGAGTCAATTGCAGTTCTAAGTTTTCTGTATTTTGTAAATGGAGTCCATTGCAGTTCCTCTTGAAGATTAATATCTTGAGTACGATATCATTACTGCAAATAGATATTATTATGTACTTCTTTTAACTAAACCGATCATGTGGTTCTGACATCATTCAATCCTTTCATATTGCAGGTTCAGCTTTTCAACCCTATTTAAGAAAAATCATAAGCAAATATTTGGGCCCTGCAGTCTAATAGTTCTTATTAACATGAATCCTAAAAGTTAGCTTGTTAAGTTCACATCTGTTAGATTACTAATTTTCCAGTTGCTTATTTTTAATAGATTAGCAGTATGTAACCGTTTCCTCGTTAGTTCATATTCTTATTGAAAGACTGAAGAAAATTAGCCTGCACTGATCCTGTTCGACCATCCCCTTCAAATCACATTTTAGTAAAGAATTTACTTTCTTATCAATCACAGAAGAAGATACTGTGAGCCCGCTTGGGCGAATGGTAATGGTGATACGGCTTTTCCTATTGATGGTGATCACATCAAGCTATACTGCAAGCTTGACTTCAATCCTTACAGTTCAGCAGCTTTCGATACCCATCATTGGAATTGATCGTTTGATTGCAAGCAATTGGCGTATAGGCTACCAAGTAGGGTCATTTGCTTATAGCTATCTGACTGATAGCCTCTACATTCATAGGTCGAGACTTGTTCCACTAGGCTCCCCGGAGGAGTATGAAACTGCACTGTGAAAAGGGCCGGACGATGGAGGGGTGGCCGCTATTATAGATGAGCTTACTTATGTTGAATTCTTTCTTTCAAGTCAAACTGATTTCGGAATTATTGGTGACACATTTACGAGGAGCGGATGGGGATTTGTAAGTACCCTTGTCTTTCACATTAGATATTACGCTTCTGGTGACAAGAATCTGGACTCCGACGAGTCCAACTCCACTTGATGAGCTTCTGGGGTCTATACCTATTATGTGGCGCCTTCACTCTCGCTGCGCTTGTAAACTTTCGGCTAAGAGTGATACACCAATTTGTCCACTACAAGAAGCAGCGCGCAAACCATCTCTCTTCATCTTTGTCATCAAGCTTGTGGAGTTCTCGATGGTCTCAGGTCATGAACTTTGTTGACTTCATCGACGAGAAGGAAGAAGCAATAAAAAAAA